TTTTGGAACACTGAAAGGTTGGTCCTAGGGGGGAGGGGGGTTAGCATATATATATATATGTATATTATCTGACCCACCATGATATACATAGCTTCTTCTTCACTATCCCTAGCTCCCATGAGGTTAGGGTATCCCATGCTAATCAGAGCTTAGTCTGCATGGACAATACCACAATTTTTCGCAAAGTACGGAATTTCTCCAATGACCGTTATCTTTGGCGTACACTTTCTCATAACCCTACAAGGAATACATAATGCAAGCTGAACATCCTAGATTAGGATAGCAATAGTCGGTGCTGATGGACTCACCTGAGCGAGCCTTGCGATTTGGAAAAAAAACGGACACTAGACAAAACAATCAAGCTGCAACTTCCTTGCACAATCAGCTTGAGTGCTAGGGTGCTAGAGACAGCCACAGCAGATGTCCTGACAGGCCGCGAGTGAGCTTGAATCGTGCGCAGGCATTCGCCTGTTCGGAGATCCTGGAATTCCACTGCTTCTGCGTCTGCAAGGCCCTCCAAGGCTTGACTTCACATCAGCTGTCCCAGAGCTTGAGGCAGCCATCGAATGCCCCTGATACCGCGCGCTCCCTGGCCTGCCAGAACGCAAAGAGGATCAAGCTATGAAGAGCGAAGAACGGCTGCTTGCATGAAGCTGTAAAAAACAACTCTCATTTACGTTTGCTGAGCCCGTTAAGATGGAACGGATTGCAAGAAGAATTGACTTGAGTTGAAGACCGGAGTCGGGCTTAGGAGGTGGCCCAGTCGGCGTGAAGAGCCCACACGAAGCCAATGTGCCGAGCAAACCTGTCGAAGCGAAATGTCGCCGCCTTTTTTCCGCAGAGAAGCAACAGAAACAAACATTTAAGGAGCTAAGTCTTGGCTGCACTGCTGCAGCACTGCATGGCTGCATGGCGCCTTGCCAGGCACTCCGAGGTGTCAATGCGCCAGAGCGAGAGGCTCCCATCATCTGAGCCAACCAGGGCTCGGCTGTCGCCATTTGCAACCCACTGCCTCGTGTGAATCCGAATCCCTTTCAGATGAGAAAAAGAGAGCGTCTCCAAGAACGTTCTCAGAATCGGGCACCGCAAGGCTCCTTAAGGCGCTATAATGTGCCAGAAAGATCTTCGGCGCTGCAGCTAGCCTGTGACTGTGACAGGGATGCACTTCTGACACACAAAGAGCTTTAGGCCGTTGAGGCTCTGGCTTGCGAGAGTCCGCCTCCGAGAAATGACATGGTCAGGTCCAAATGGTTTGGGCTGACTTCTGAGGCTCTGAGGTGTTGGCTTCCGAGCCACCTGAGAACAGAGATGTTGGACAGAGATTCAACATTGGAGGCTTCTTGCTTCGTCTTTGCAAAGCAACCTGCATCGAAGTGCCAGTACGCTAAATGCCCATCCTCACGGGATGCCCTTAGGAATCACACAGCACCGCCGGCACCGCCCGGTTGCAGTACTAGCTTGTACGCAGTGACGCCGCAGTGGCTTCGCAGTCCTCGAAGCCGCTTAAGGCACGGCGACCGGCGCAGTCCACTGCTGTACCGCTGACAGCTGTTCCCGACTCCTCTGCCACAAGTCTGCAACAAGGGCCAAGACAGCTTGCAGTCGTGGTCTGAGCGGATAGTCCTTGGCTGCCTCAGCACCGCGCACGAAGTCACCCAGCACCTGCAATCATCTTTTCGCGCACTCCCGGTGCCTACGGTGCCTACGGTCTACAACCCTGCCACGTAAAGCCTCTGCTGAGTCCAAGTCCCATAGCCGCACACAGCCGCTCCGCAGGCCCCCACAGGCCCTTCAAACGGATAAGATCTGAGATTCCCGGCTGCTCAGAGGTTCTGTCCTATTCAGGCCTGCGTGCACGCCAATCAACTGAGAATGAGTCAACCTGAGCCACCCAGACATCTGGAACGCATTCTTCCTGTGCGGCATTCTGCAGCATTCCGCTGCGGCTGCTCCAATCCAAGACTCTGACTGCGCTTTCTGATGGCAAGACTTTCAGGCAGCGGAAGGTCTTAGCAGAATTGAAATGAGAAAAGTGCTCGCAGCACTCGCATCTGGCGCCTTGAGGCACCAAAGCTTGGCTGCCCCTGCAATGCATCCCGTCAACGCCTGCATGGAAGTCTCCTTCCCAAACACCCTCTGCTCATCTGCTCCACTTTGTCCGCCTGCTCCACAGCCCAGTCCACTGCCAAGCAGCCGGCCTCAAGCTTTGCTTTGATTAAGCCCTATAGAGCTCAACCGCCTAGAAAGAGGGCTCTTTTAAAACCCACCGCAACCTACCCGTAAAGCAATCAATATGCCCATTCCACGCAGTGCGCACGCAACATCCACGCATCAACCGCATCCCATCAATCGCTCCTCGCGAAGAAAAAAAGGTGTTCTCTTTAAGTCCTCCTCTACTCAATTCAATCCTCCCTCTCTGGCCCTCTCTGAGGAGATGTGTCCTAGCTGCCCATGAAGGCCTGGAAAAAAAACCTTGAAGGGCCACCGATGGCACAAGAATGCTGGCTTAAGCGCGACGGCATGTTGCGTTAGGGATTTCAGCGGCTTGAAAAAGTGCATTCGAATGAAAAGACAGATGATTACTGGCTCCTAACAGATGACAGAAAAGGAAAACAAACGAATGGTTTGAAGGTGGTGGCAAGAGCAAAGGCCTTTTGCTCAAAGGTGGCAAGTCCGGTTCTGTCCAGAAGCAGAAGTTCGGAAATTCAACGCCGCACTCCCAGCAGAAAGGCCAAGCGCAGGTACCGCGGCGTATGCGGCACTGGCAGTGAGAAAAGCTTCCAGGATCCGCAACGACATATGGCATGCTATCCTCGTCTGCATGAGTCAAACCAGGAAACGATGAGCAGAATTGCTAATTGTTTCTGCGGTACTCAGAAGTTTGCCCTGAATTTGACCCTGCTTCACGCACGGCACGAAGTTTCCAATGCGTGCTTGATTGTGTGCAATACTTCCTTGCAAAGGGCCCAAAATTCGTGAGCCGTCATCGGAAAGTTCCATCCTCGACATACCTTTGCCTCTGCACTGCGGGAGTTTAAGCGACAACTCCTTTGTTCAGTATGCTTTGCATACACTCCGGCAGACAGTGAGACCGGTGCCCGGGCCAGCATCAGATGCCTGAGAGCGCTATCTTCTTGGTGGCCACTGCAAAATACCGCAAAGGAACTTGACTGAGCATGCTTCTCATATCGTTGCATGGTTTGAGGCTGAAGCATGGAGGCGCTTCAAAAGGACTATGTGCAAACACAAAGCCTTTTCCAACCTATGTGCATTTGACTATCTTGCGCTCGACTGGCCGGAGTATTGCAAGTACACGGTCATTGAGGATGACCAGGGCATCTCATTGATGCTTCCCTCAAAGAAGGGATTTGTGGTGACATGAATCTGTTCGAGCCCGCACCGTCTGATCGTGCTCCTCTTCGCATAGAATGAGTGAGATCCTTGATCAGCTTGCTCCACGCTTCCCACCAGTGCCAATGCTGCTGTTTATGAAGCTGAATGGAGGGTTCTGAAAGTTGCCATGACATCCAGCATGTTGACTCCCGGTGGTGCAAGATGTTCGCCTATGCTTGGCGCTGGCAGTAAGCCTACCTGCCGATCTTGGCAAACGAATTTCTGATGTGCTGTTTCCCTCCTCCCCTGAGTGTGTTCGAAGGGTCCAGGCTCTCCTGCCCTTTTTGTCATAAAGCTCATACTATATAGAAACTCTCGACATGCATCCCGCAAGTACGCACTAAAATTGTGCCGCAGCTTCAAGCGATTAACCAACCGAGACTACATGGGACAGTGCTGAGTTCTGAACCTTGGTGCCGGCACAGCTTCCACATCATGCGCATTCCGCATCCAAAACTTATGTGGCCTAACCTTGACAAGAGGTCTCTAAACAAGGAAGGGGCCTCCGCGATGCTTCAGAAAGGGAGCATTCTGTCTCCCTCTCATGTTTCTTGGGGCGATGGCGTTTGTGATTGCCAGGAAAACCATGCTCCAGGGACAGCTAATAATGGTGAGAATCGGTTATGTCTGCAACGTTCTGCCGCAGATGAGAGGATTTGCTACTGGCGACGAACGCTGAATACTGGTGACGCACGCTGGATACGCGATGATGGCGATGGTGATGAATATGGCGGCTGTTTACATCCAGCACCACGATGAAAAAGGGAAAAGAACAATCTGGACGCTGATACCCTGATAGACATGATAAGTGACCATCAGAATGATGATGCTGACCAGGAAAACCATGATGTTGCGATATGATATGCTGAGCGCAATGATAAAGATGTCAGCAGTGAGGTCACTGATGCTGCTGAGACTGATGTTGACGGAGGACGCGGATGATCGCAACAATGATGGCTGTAGCCATTTCATGCTCATGCTCTTGACTTATGACGGTGATGATGATGTTGATGGTGGTGATGATGATGATGATGATCATGATGATGTAGTGATGGCAGTGGTGGGGCTGCGGTTCTGATCCTGGTGCCTACGTCAGATGTGCTGTTTACGTCATGATCATCGCCGCTGGGCGCCGCCGCCATCGTCGTCGATTTCGCGCTCATGCTCCTGGTCCTTCTTCTTGTTGGCCGATTGAACTCCTACCCGGCCCAGATGGCTGGCCTCATCCTGGTGTGCCACGACGCTGTTGAGGCAGCTGCCATCACCTCCGAGTCTACAGATGCTTCCCAACAAAAAAACTCTCCTGTACGGTGGACCGTACAGGAGTAAGAGCCAGGCTCAGATCCCAGAGCTGCATGCGACCGTCAGAGGTCGTGCAAACCACGCCTTTTTCCACAACGGCACTCTTGAAAAACAAACTCTTGCGTTCGGCAGGTCCCAGGTGTCCAGCGCATTCGGTCCCAGTTAGCAGACACCGCAAGGATTGCAGATGACACAACAGAGGCCATGTCTTTCACCTGTCGAAAGAGGGAGGGAAAAAGAGCTTAGTGAGAGCTTGAGAGCTCAGTCTGCAGGGCCTTCTCAGCATCAGCCGCATTCCAAAGCCTCATCCCGCCTCGCTCGATGCTGTGGCAGAAGAAAAAGCAGCACCAAACAAAGCGCACATAAAAAAAGCATCAAACAGCATCAACCAGCGCGGAGCTCACGGAGCTTTCTGAGAGCTTTTGGCCTTCGCTGGCCCCAGAGATCATATGCTGCACCTTTGGCTCCTCTTCAATTTAAGGCGGAACACTTGACTTCAAAAGACAGGCGCCATTCCGTTACGCATTTGCTTCATCTGCGCCTTTTGCGAGGAGACAACGTTCAGCACCACCAGGCCAGGCTCCACATACCAGTCCTTCAGGCGCGTTTTCAGAGAAGAGAGCTGAGCCTTGCGAGGGGATTTTCCTCCAAAGTGGAGTCGTTGGGCAGCAGCTCACCCAGCCTCAAGTCACAGAGGAGAGAGACGAGAGAACGCTCCTTCATCTTTCAAGTTCCAACTCTTTTTGGACTCTTTCTTCGCTTTTCTGTGTCCCTGGTGGGTCCCTGGCCAAAGCAGCTGTAGCGAGGAGACGGCGGCGGCAGTGGCTGTGTGCAGGCGCTGCTTGATGGACCCAACCTGCCACGGTCAGCACGGCAGCTGAAACAGCAAGCAGCTGCTGACCGCTTCACAAAGGCCAGAAGCCATTCATACTTTCGTCAATGATTTCTCTCCTCTCCTTCTCCCCAGGAGCCACCACGAGTTTTGCTACCGATCGGCCACGCATGCTCCGCACCAGCACCTCGAGAATCACCACGAACGTAAACGTAACGCAAAGCGTGGACCTGGCAATGTGCACAATGCATCGAGCCTTGAAGGCTCCCTCAGGCACCTCTCCAAAACTGGCAGAAGTCCTTGGTAAGGTGCATGGCTATCATATGCTATCATGGCTCTTGGGCACAAACGATTAGATATTTCTGGGGTGATGACGCCAACGCCGAATCCCGTGTGGGAGAGAGGCTGAGAGATGTGGCGCCTGGACAGGCCCAAAGCCACGCGTGACTGACGGAGAGGCTGAGTCTCGAGTTCCGGGCTGGTGGGCGCTGTGGAGACAGAGCTTCGGGATACCTGCCCCAAGCTGGAAGACTGCATCTTCACCCAAGGGAAGTCCTGGGCGTTCCTGGGCCTTGAGTCCACCAGGCGTTCCCGCGCCCTGAAGGATTGGGTTTGGGGAGGTTGCTTTTAAAACCAAGCTTTTTGACGGGCCTCCTGCGACCTGGCTTCCATTGCGGCAGCCTGCGTCTCCAAATTTCTGAACACATTCTGAAGCCTTTCTGAAGCTCTAAGCCGCATGCCTGACGAAAGCGCATGGCCTCAGCCAGAAAACTCTTACATTTGTCGTGATGCAGAACCCTAAAGCCACCACACGCATCATGTTGTATCATGCTTCTTTTGTTTGGTATATCAAGCGGCCTAGCAGCCTCTTTCAGAGGCCAGTGACCAGTGGAAGCATTTTGCCTTTTGGTAGGATGTCCCCTCGCGACTCGACAAAGACGATAGAGGGAGAAAGAAAGTGACAGGTAGGGGGAGGACGCGGGAGAGAGAGAGAGAGAGAGAGAGGGAGAGAGATGGATGAATGGATAAATGGATGGATGGAGGCTTCCGGTTTTCTGCAAGGGCTCGGCCCAGCAGCCTCAACATCTTTGATTTTGCTACCTCTTGCATGTGCAGACCGAAGCGTTCCGCCTGTGTATGTTCCTGGCAAGACTGCTTTGGCTGTGGCAGGGCTACTTCTGTCTGGGCACAGCTGGGCACAGCGCCATAAAGCTGTAGGGATCTTCCGGGCGCTCCCGCAAAAGCAACTCGAAGAGCCCATGCATGAACTGCCCGGTAGCAAGCGCGAAAATCTCAAAAACAGGAAACGGCCATCTTGCCGAATCTTGCCATCTGGCCTCGTGCAGACGGTGTGTGTCCAAGTAGGCCCTGGCATCGGCTTCTGCATCTCGCTTCTTCACCTTAAAAGGGAGAACAAAATGCAAAGGTGAGAGTGAAAGTGAAGTGCTTTGCTCCTCAGCTCTGAACGGCGGGCATCTCACCGCCCGTTCCGACCCTTGAACGACCTCTGAAAGCTTTTCAGAAACATGCAAAGGCAACACCCTGCAAGGCATTTTGCAATGGATCCATGTGGGGAGCCGACCCACGGAGACCGGGTAGGTCTTTGGCCTACATGGGGGTTGCCATGGAAGCTCCGGTTTCATAGCCCTCCATGATCCGTGCCTGGGGCCTCCTTCTGCACAGATCTGGAAGGTTACGCTCATTGATTGCCTCCGTTTGGTCCACGTGGCTACAGACACACATGACACTATGAAGAGTCTCAGAATCCTCAGAGCTTTGCCCATCTTTGCCCTCCAGAGGCAGCCGGCACAGGCCTCAAAACTTGCTGCCAAAGCTCCAAGATGCCTAAAGAAGAACTGAGGATGTTGCCGTTCTCTCCCGAAGTCAAATTGATGTGAGAAGATGACTTCCTGAGCCCAGAGCTTTAACTCGTTTCATGGCCTGCTTGCTTGCGAGCTGCGCGAGCTGCATGCGAGAGCAGGGTTAAGCAGCTGACCCAAGGAGCCCCAGGACATCGATGCGTAAAGGCCAGGGTCCAGGCGGCAACCTCCAGAGCCAACAGCAACTTGTGGAAGTTTCAAAAGTTTCAAAAACACCTTGTTTGCTTTCCTGTTTTCCGTTTCGTTTCAACGACCTGAAGGGGGCCGAGCAAGGCAAAGGGCTCTGGCGACGGGTCGGCCCCGAGCGTACCGACAGGATGCTGCCTGAGCTAAGCAGAGCTGAGAAGCCAAAAGCTCAAAAAATTGAAGTTTATCTTCACTCGAAAACTTACGGAGAAAAAAACACATCACGTCCCCACCTTCAGGCAGACCTAAGTAATCCAGAACGGTCAGCTCCATAGCGGCTAGCACCTAACAGCACCCGTGTCGTGCATTTTCTTCGAAGACCGCAAACCCACCTGGGATAAGGCTAAGGCCGGCGGATGAAGCAAGGAGGGATGCACAGTCTCAGAGTCTCAGATAAGTCAACGATGTCAATGTTGTCTGCGGTGTGCTCACCTCTGCCTCTTCATCCCCAGCACGAACCCCTAGACCAGCCTGATGCTGTGGAGAACAAAATCTATAGTACGGCTTCGTACGGGTCCATGTGCACCTCGGCCCAAGCGCCTTCAGCGCATGTTCCTTGGGGCCGAAAACTGCGCGGGTCCTGAAAAAGTCACCGAATCAAATGGGACAAACGCGCCTCCAAAGCTTCAGCGATTTGGTGAGAAAAACCTGGACCCTTGACACCCTTGGCACCGTTTTTTTGGTAAAAGCCATCTGCTCGCTCTGGGCTGGCTCTGGGCTCGCTCAGGTGCCGCAGGTGCCGTGGGCATAGCTCCAGGATCGGCTCCATCGTCCTCGCATATCCTCGCTCTAACCTCAGAGGGCTGGAAGTGGCAAGGGGGGAAGTAAGCCTCCTTTCTGGTGCATGTGTCACAAGCACAGCATTTTTCCACCGGCGGCGAGGAGTTTCTCACTTGCGCCACGTGCCCCGTGCCAACCCAAGTTCCCGTCCCTTGCCCATAGTGTGATGACATGTGATGATTTTGCAAACCGGCCTGAACGGCTGTGCACAAGTTCTGTAGCTGGCACAAGGACGGATGCCTTGCCGAAAGCTATGAATACCTGATGCTACTGGCACTGCGGCACATGCGGCACATGCGGCACGCGACCCTCCGAACACACTGCACGCATACTGCATACGCACACTGCGTACACACACTGCGTGTCACTGCGAAGATGTCCCTTGAACGCCGCATCTCACAGCTGTTTGCTGCAAGCTGCGGGTCCGGGTTGTTGTGTGTGGCTTCAATGCCACCAGCCAAAAAGTTTTTAGCATTTGTCTCGGGTGCCTCAGCCGCCAGAGGCTTTCAGCTCAAGAATCAGGCCCTACCTAACCGGCACACTGCTCCAGCTACAAGTAGCAGCTAGCATCATGACTCATGACATCTCCAACGGGGCCAATTCCAGTAATCCAAAGAGTTTGGTGATCCCAGCCCTTGAGGGAACTCAACATGCTGGGACAAGACAAATTGTTCGGCAGGTAAAGGACAGACAGCTTGCTTGGACACAGCGAGGCTCAAGCATGTTCTGCTTGAGCCAATCTGTGGCTGCTGCCATCTGCTGTGCTGTGTCCTGCCTAGAGGGGCCAGAGCTCTAAAGAGTGTAAAGAATTAGAAGCAAATCTGAAAGTAGTGTGAATCTTTTTCTGATTGAGGTTTCCGTCTGCTGGCGGGGGCTGTTTTCAGAGCGCTGGCCCTTTGAGCCCAACGGTCTCAGCAGTCTTCCTCTTCCTCTTCGCACTCACCACTCTACAAATGCCCAAGACGACACTTTCGGCAGTACGTTGAAGTGTTTCACGTCCACTTTACAAGGACATGCTGGACACGCTGGAAAGATGGCTCTGCCTGACGGCAGGTTTGCCGAGGACTTGGGAGCACCGGAAAAGTATTTAGTAAAGACATAAGTAAAGACTCGGTATTTTCTGTAGCCATTTTCTTCGAAGAGATGGACATTTTGGGTCCCTCCAAGCCCGGCTCAAACGATGCAAACAGACCGGAGACAGAGGCAGTGACAGGCACTGACTCACTGACAGAGGCACAGACAGAGAGGCATAAAGGCATCCGTCCAGCTGAGCCGAGCCGAGCCTCTGGTCTCAACTTAATTCGTCCACAAGGACCTGCTGTGTGTCACCAGGACACCACGAAGCCATGCCATGCCATGCCCTCACGCCTCGGCACAGCAGCGCAACTTCATACTAAGCATGATTTGATTTTTTCATTTCGCTCATTTGCTGTGGCCGAGCAGCACTAGTCGCTGGACAGAACGTCACTGCAAGCTCGTCGGTTTTGCGAAGAGATGGGAGAAGCAGTTGCAGTACCATCATCACTGCGGTCGCTGCGGTCGCTCGGGGCTTTTGGGAGGTCCTCCGACTTGCAGGGGCTGTACGGGTCGCCGAAAACTTGCTGCCGGAAACTCGAAAGATCAGCCAGCTTCGTGGCTTCGGAGCACTTCCGCCGCATTGCATCCAGCTTCAAACAAGCGACATCTTCTGGAGCAATGCATGAGCTCTGCTGCAAAGCTGCCTTGGTAGTCAATCTGCAGAGGCTTTGAACACCACACACGCAAGATCACGCAAGCCACACAAGCGGGCGCTCTGCTAAGAGCCAGGCTAGCAAAGGGTATACCTGTGGGAGCACGCTGTCCGTCTGCTTGGCTTTCTTGGCTTGCTGCGTCAAAGCTTGAACCACATCACCTTGTTCTGCCGCTCGAGCAATGGTGCTTCGAGTCCGAGGGCTGTTGCAAGCCCAAAAGGCCAAGATCTGTGCAGCATCTGCGGCAGATTTCCCTGACTCGACGCATGACTTCATCAGTGCCAACGCCGTGTCAAGCGCCTGCCCCCCCGCCACTGCACCTGCACGTGAGGCATGCGCGTTCCAAAGCCCCCCAATTTCTTCTGACCGAACATCATCAACAAGTTGCCCCCAATGCGCTCAAAGGTTCGTCCTCCACATTCCAGCCGTCCAAGTTCCCCAAACAGATCCCTTGCCACTACAGACAGCTACGGCCTTCAGGCACAGTCAAGATTGGCCTACCTGACGCCCGCAATGCTGCCTTGTAACTCAGAGTCATCCGCACATTTAAGGTCAAAACAGCCCGAATCAAGAAGCAACTTCTGCCCGTGCCTTCGCCTTGCAGCTCCAGGTCTTCGTCGAAGTCGGTGGTGGGTGTTTCTTTGGTCTCATCATCTAGTAGCACCCTTCGCTCAATCAGGTGGACAAGCTTGCTGAATCTGAGGGCATCCTATGGCAAAACCATCAAAAGCACATCAAAAGAGCACATGCAAAAAAAGAAAAGAAAAGAGCCAAGCACAAAGCGGTCCCTTGGTCCTGCCCGAGCATGTCCCGAAAGGACACGAATGTGGCGGCTTCATCTTCAAAGACTTTCACGAAAGCGCGGAAGACGACGAATTCAAACATCACATCCACCTCCACGGAAAAGGAATTGTTTTCTTTCTGAATCTCTTCTTCCGGTAGGCAAAGGCTCAGAATCGTCATCTCGCCGCCCTTTTGGTGATCGCTGGGCTGGTCCTTCAGAAATCGGATCAGGCTCTCAAAGACTTCCGCTGGCCGCTTTGGAGACCGCCGGAGAACGTCGCCAGGCAGCACTCGCACCTGAGAAACAATAAAAGGGAGAATCAGCAGACTCGACTGTGAGAAGCGGTGAGAAACTTGCCTCAGGGAAAGGCGCCATATGCTTCCCGGGCAAAAAGTTCCTTTCTAGCGCTGATTGCACTAATCTCTTGAAAGCTGCGGATTGCCACAAAACGTCTCTGCACCATGCGAGCAATGTCAGTGGACGCATGTTCCACGACTTCAGCAGAGCACGTGTCGAATGTGTCTCATGAATGCTCGTCCAAGCTGCATTGTCTGGCGCGGCTATGCGCGGCTAGCAGCCGGACCCGTCTGCTCAAGACGTGCTGACTTGAAGGACTTGAGGTTGGACGGTTGGAAACACTAACTTCTGTCCTGAATTTGGCATGCGTCGCTCTCTTGTACATTACACACATGCTAGCCCCCTCCTGAACCGAAGTCCTGTTTGTCTCATCTCTTGGTTGAGTTCTAAGCCCAAGGCTTACAGGTTGTAGCTTTCCAGCATGCTAGATTTCTGGCTCCTAGCTTGCAAGAGTTCTGCCTTTCCAGCGTTCTAGGTTAACGTTCTCTAGATTTCCAGTTTACTCAACTCTGAGAGGTCTACACAGGCTGGAGCTCGAAGATCTGCCGATCACGGACCAATTCTGGGACAGCACCCAGGGATGCATCCTCAATGCTTGGTCATGCAACGCATAATAACGTCACTGCATTTCAATGCTGTCTCAAACCGCCTGTGTCGGCTTCAAGGCATGCTCAGATTTGTACCATACACCGCTTTCTCAACTCAATGTTTTTCTCTAGTGTTTTACTTACGAGGCGGCGATTTTATGCGAACTTGAGCCGGATTTCGTGGCAGTTCTCCTGGTCAATTTCTTTTGCAGAGTGCTTGACCAGCGAGTGGGGTGTTTCGTGCTTGCTGTGAAAGCTCGTGGTGCGAGAACGACTTACATACGCTCGGTTCGCGTGCTGGTTGGGTGTGAATACAAAGAGCGGAAATGTATCTAGGGGATGAAGCTGCTGTTTTTGTTTGCACCTCATTTGCACTGTGACAGCAACAGGGACACTTTGGGGATTCTCCTACTTCGTATGTAACAATAGGTCCCTCGGGGATAATACTCCTGCAAACATATTCTTACTAGAGAGGGGTTTGCAACAGGGGCTTTTTGGGGCACTGCTATTGAGAGGATTTGCAACGAGGGCCTGAAGGGGGCCAAGCACAAAAAGAACCGACCTGGAGAAAGTGGAAGGGTCATAGAAACTCAAACTCGCAGACCTGACACTTCAAGTGGGTCCACTTCAAATTGGCGAACAAGGTTGAGCAACTGTTGAGCATCCTGAGCACGCTGGGCCACCAACATATGCTGCAGAGATTACCGAGCTCCTCTCTCATGTCTGGATGCAGTCTGCTAGGCTGTGGGCGGTGGTGTCATTCGATGCGACGCGCGGGCATAGATAAAGAGTGATGCAAGCCCTTTTGAAGTAGAAAGTCAAAAGAGATGCAGCGTGGGTTGAAAAGCGCAAAACAAAGCGGAAGGAGGACGCACACGGCAGAAGGACGGAGGAAGCACAGGCCGAAGGCAGCGAGGAGCACCGGAGCACCATCAGCTCAACAGCCAGGCCAACAGCCCCCGCAGCCTTCCTAGAGCCTTCCCAGCCGAACCGGGCTCACCTCAAATTTTTCATCACCTTCCAGCAACGCAGAGAGCGCGTTCTTCTTCCATACGTTCTAAACTGTCGAAGGTGCAGATTAAATTCACATGCTAAGCTCACCAGCTGGGGCCGCGCTTACCAAAGCACGCAAGGAAACAGGGCACACAAACCACTTTCTGGCCCGCAGACGGAACAGGAAACCACCAAACTCATCCTGCCCTTGCAGGCAATTACCAACTATACAGGCGAACACCTCGGGCGGTTCAAAATTGTGCAATTGGTCGTAGACCAGGTAATCCAGGGTTTCCCGCTGTATCAGTTGAAGAATTTGTTGGCAAACTTTCGAGCACCACTTGACTCGGGGCGATTAGCGGACATCTCGCACCAGCTATGCCAGCTATGCTAGGCTCCTAAGCCTTTTGGAGCAGCTGCGGCCTCCTGCAGCATTTGATGTTGCTGAGTCGCCCACTAGGGCCTGGGACCAGTTATCTTAGTTGCCGGATGCTACGTCTCTTGGGCATTCCTGAATCCAAGTTTGCTTCGATAAAGGCGGCCTTGACATCACTTGTGGTTTTGAAATGCGCCCACAGACGATCACTCGACCGCAATTCTACAACACAACATGGGCACATGCAACTGATAGGCCAAATCTGCCAAGTTCTACTCTTCGACCTATGCTGCGGGGCAGATGGATTTCAAATATTGGAAGCTTCAAGAGCTCGCGCCAGCTTGCCCGTCTAGGAAACCTCTTCCTTGTGGCTAGGCTGCACTTGGCAACTCTTCCAAACCTTCTCTCCCGGCAAGCTCTCATTTTTTGCAGAATCCATGAGGCCTCCCCACCCCTCGAAGGTCTGTTGCCGCATTTTTCATGGTCAAAGGTCAGGAACAAGATCGGATTCAGATTACTGGAACAAGGTCACCCTCTCCTCTCACGACCCGCTTTTGCGACCCCTGTTCCCTGCTCTGCTCGCCCCTTGGCGATGCCTCTTCATTTGAGTCTCAAAAAGACATTACTCGCTTTAATTTCGGCTAAGAAGTTTGATAGAAGTAAAAGGTCTGAATGTTCTCCATGATAACATTCATACAGGTTTGATGAAAAGGGCTATTGCTGCGGATTATGAGTGCGTCGTTCTTGGTGATTAAACCCTGTGAGTTCATACTCCCCATATACTAGAATTCTATAGCCCAAAGGAGGATGCAATCTCACTTTATGTTAAGGACTGTAGTATCCGCAAATAAGATACACTCATTGGAGTGGGCTCGGCTCTGGCACATGTGCTTGCGTCTTCCAGTCATTCACCAATCACAACTCATTGATTTGACTGCAGGAATGTCCCAAGAAGATGATGAGATCGAGTTGCTGAAATGGAGCAATCTAGCACTGAGTCGGTAACTACGTATCTAGCATGCAAGGGTTGATTGAAGGGAACGCCCATGTGCCTCACCTTGGCCCGCAAGGTGGCAGGCATGTGGTCATCGGAGGCACGGGTACACGCTGCAAGGTCCTAGAGCTGAAGCCGCACACTTCAAACACGATCTCCTCTGCGCTCGTATCCTTTTCCTCCGTTTGCTCTTTTTCAAGAAAGACGAAGCTTGAAACGGCCAAGCGCGGAGTCTTGCAGGCATCGGCTGAGTCAAGGCGATACCAAAGATAGCTTCGTATGGGCTTTCAAGTCTTCAAGCCTTGAGCGCGATGTCGAGACAACGTCACATGGCAGGAACATAGCATGCCTTCTGGTGAAACTCCGACCATGACGCTACAGCCGGTATAGCCATGAAATGCAGAAATGCACGCTCACATCGTTTTCTTACGACTTACCAAGGCCGACATCAAAAGCAATCAAATCTGGCTAAGGTAGAACTGAGGTGCGCTTCTAGAGCTAGGTTGCTTGGAGGTCTCCAAGCGTGAGAAGCAGAAGCTCCCAGCTCACAGCTTCCCAGGCCCTGGCACACCCGAGGAACAGAAAGAGAACGGAAGAGAGGAAGTCAGGATGAGTGGCCTTCATGAAGCCAGGTTAAATCCCAAATCGACCTGCTCACAGCACTCACAGGACTCACACGTCTCTCCCTCTGTCTCCAAAAGCTCCCTGGCCGTCGTGAGGCACCCCACTTCCGCTCTCCCAAGGTCAGCCTCAAGGCATTAGCCCTCTCTCACTCTCTCGCTCTCTCCCTCTCTCTCCCGGCTTGCAAAATCTTGCCACCTTTGAGCATCCCGGCCGTTCGTTCGGTTCAAAGGTCAGCAAACCTCTCGAAGCTCTCGAAACATTGACAACATTTGCCACATCCTGGAAGACATTTGTGCCTTCAAGGAGGGAGACCAAGGGTTCAGACATGAACTCCACAACCTACAGACGAAACGAAAGAAACGAACGCCACGAAACCTCAAAAAACATGTTTCAGATCTTGAGCTCGGTGCCCGCTGCGTGGAGTTCCGGAGCTTGCGCTTGGCAAGATACCTGGCTGCTGTAGCTGTTTCTCTTCAGAACAAACGGGTGCCAGCTGTTTCAAGTGAAAGTGTGTGTGAAAATGTAACGTGTAGTCTCTGAGAAATGCAGAGAGAATTCGTGGAGCAGGGCACGCTCTGAAGCCGTGCTTCTTGACGTATTCGAAGCACTTGCAACCGCCAGGCCGAGTGGACAGCCATGGATAGTCCTAGGTGGACAGTCAAGTCATCGCAAAAGCATGTGAGGCCATAGCATGCAGCATAGCATGTAGCATGTTCATAGCGCAATATGCAGTGAATGTAGAACACACTGCTGTGGTTGTCGTGCTGAGCTGTCCTTCAGCAACACTGCATAGAGCGTAACACCTGACAAGCTTATTTTAAATGGCAGGGTATCCGCCTGCAAACGCGGAGCCTAGTGAGAAAGCATCGGTCAAGTATGCGTCATATTCCTGGTCCGTGTGGAGCTCTGGTGCCTGCAGGATTGGGTTCTCGAGAAGCTTTGCAACGAAAAGGACTTCAGTGTTGCCTGGTACGATGCCTTCCCGCGTATGCAGTTCCTGAGAAGCTGCGCGGCTGCTCGTACTGAATCCATTCCCAAACAGCAAAAAATGTGAAATGGTGTTCAGTCCTGAAGGACCTTGCTGTGGAGGCCATGCTAAAGTCAATGATCTTGATGATAAATGAGCCGCCTTGGCCAAAACAAGAACGCATTCTTCAACGAGAATGGGATACATCGGATATGTCAGGGCCGCGCTGTCTGTCTTGGACATCAGCACGTTTTCCAGGGAGAGGTCGCGGTGCACCTTCGGGCAGGGACAAGCCACGCTGAAATTCATGAAATGGAGGTCCGCGCAATCCCAAAGTCGTGCAGCTGCTGGATGCCCTCCATGAGCTGTCGCGCAATGGGCTGGACCACCTGTGGCGTATTCTGCTATCTTCAAATCTTAAGGGGAGGCTCAGTGCCCACCATCTCCCTCTCGTGCCCAGGAGCTACGCCGCCCTAGAAGTCAGTGCGTCAGTGCGTCAGTGCGTCAGAGCTCAGATCCGATTTGCGAACCTCGCACCAGGAGAAGAGATCCCCCTCTGTGGCAAAGGTAGTCACGACCTCAGCTACAACTTTTGTGCTCTGCAGTGCTGTGTCAGTGCTCTGCAGACCGTTTCGTTCCGAGGCAGCAGCATAGGTGTGCTCCGAATCCCGATACACACCCAGCAGGTCGCACGCGTATGGATATCCGACATCGTTCAAGAAGCGCACGCAGCCAAGGTCCTGACTGGCAAAGAAAAGAAAAGCAGACAGTGTGGACATTCTGCACGGAGTCACGGCTCCTGCCACGGCAGCTCTGTCTCAGAAGGGTGGTCGATGACAAAGTCCGAGTGGCTCGTCCCGACCCACCTCGTTCAAACAACCCGATTTCAAGCTGAACCTCTTCACGCCGCTGTGCCAAGCCTGTTCGGCATAATCTTCACCTGCAAACATGCCATTAACCAAGCTTTCCTGCAGATTTGCGCGCTTGGCAGCCAAGCGGCTGCAACTAGTCTGTTTTCATCCTTGTCCTTCATCAGCACAACCTGAGGATGCACAACATGAAGGTGCTGTAAGACACCACTCAGCTGGCATGTTTAACACGTGCCTGTCCCCGATTCCGGGTGGCATCCTGCAGTTTCCGAATCACCTGGCAAAATCAAGAGACAGGACAAGAAACGGTTGCTTTGCCATGTTGCTTTAAAGTCACACGAGCTCTTCAAGAAGTTCTGTCTGCGTTGCAAGGCCTCGAAACGGCTCGCTGGCCATTCCCGCACCTGCATGTAGAGTACGCATTGTTTCCATTAGAAGAGCATGCAAAATCTCAAAGATATGTGTGCGAGCATGTGCGAGCTCATCGCCTCTTTGGGATCATAGCCCTGATGCAGCGCTCTGGGAGCTTTGATGTGTCCGTCGTCCTCATCCTGAGGAAGAGCAGGATGAAAGCTGCTCCGAGAGATGGCCATGGCACACATGCGCCAGGCACATGTGGCAAGCATCGAAGCATCGATTCGCATCGATTCCGAGTTGAGACAAGGCGCGATGTCATCTTCGGAGTCTGCGTAGGCCTCAAGTGGTGGACTTCACCACAGTTTGAGCTTTTGAGCTTTGCCAAGAGAGGGAAAAGAGAGAGAGAGTGTAAAGAGAGACTCCGAGGCACGTTTGTAAAGGGAGCCGCCGCAGCGAAGGCCGGCCGCGCAGCCGAGGAGGCGGCGCCTCCGCAAAGAGCAGAGAAGAAACAACTTTCTGCAAAAATTCTCTCAGTTGGGCTAAGCAAGAGCTGAGCCAACTCGTTTGCTTAAGGGAAAAGCGCTTCTTTTGGCTCTTTGCCAAAGGGCTTTGCTTTTTCCTTTGCCTCTCGAGGAGCGGTAGTTCGCCTGATCAGCAGCGAGTGCCTGCGCCTGGGAAGCTGAAAGCTGAAAAAACACACACACACAACTATACAACTATGTGAACACGCGGTTCTCTACTTCAACCCCCCGACCTGCTGGAACTGGGCCTGGGCCTTCTGAAAAGCCTCCCACAGAAATTGCTCGTTTGTAGCGAGCTTGGCATGCGCTGCTTCGCCTGCAGGGCCTTCAGGGCGTGGCCGTCTACCTGACAGACTCATGAAACTGGTGGGGCTGGTGGGACTGGTGGGGCTGGATGCATTTGATGAAAGGAAGCAAAGCAGAGCCTCCTGATTGGATGGCTCCTCACACTGGGATGCTGGGAACATCTGGGAACTACGCCTTGTTGCTGCATCACAGTGGTATTGCAGTGACAGTGTGACAGGCATGCAGCTGGGTCCTGGTTGCTCTGCTCCTGAGCATGAAGAACTTATGCATTAATCTGACGTTATCACTTTCTTTATAGTCAGGCCTGTGCAGGATTAAAAATGCCAGGGATGTGCGGAGGAAATCTCGACCTTTCATCAAGTCACTCGCAGCTATCAGAACTTCCTGAACGACGCGAAGGCTCGGGAGCCAGCAGGAAAGGTTTGCCGCCAATGGCGAAGTAATCCATGCAGGGTTGCCCGTGTCACTTCCTGGCGTATGCCCTCAAAACTGATCCTCCACCCCACGCGAAGGCGCCCTGCGGGCCTCGGACTCTCTGACGCTGCTCAGGTCCTAACCCCTGTTGAGCCGTCAAATTCACACACACATACATACACACACATACACTGTCACAACACTTCATCCCCTCTCGAGCGCTGCTAGCTCCTTCGAATCTCACTGAGCCCCAGCTGCCCACGCTTTCTTGCTGCGCTGCCACCAGATCAGCTTGAAACAGAGGAACTAGGCCTCCAAACTTTCAAAGCAGATACCGTGGGAGTGGTCTTTTTGACACACTGCCGACATCACACGCTGCACTTCGCGGTTCTGCGAATGGCCGCTTTCAAAGGGTTGAAGCCTGCCATTCTTGTTCCATCTCCGCATACATTTCGGAAGCTCTCGAACTGGGATCCCAGCCAGTGGGGAGACTCCTGGCAGCAACACAAAAACAAGAGTCAGGAGTCAGGACCCCTCAGAAGAGCAGGCCTCTCTGAATCTCCGAAACTGCTACGAGCCACGTAAACCTGAGCTTGGCGAGCCTGACACTTCCTGCAGCAATCCAGAAGTAGGCCCCCGCAGTTGTAGAATACTTTTGGCCGTAGCGGTGCGTAACCGATACCTGACTCAGGAAACATCTTCAGATGTTTGCGTTATCAGAAGTGTTGAGCTCATCTCATTGCATTTGGGCATGTTGCATGTTCCCATGATCTCGGAAGTGTTCTCAGACCATTTTTCTGCACATTTCGCTTAGCAACGCACTCCTGGCTCCTATAGCGATTTATTGGGAAACATGTGACACACATGCCAACCACAACGTTGTTCACAAGGTTTTAGCATCTCGGAGCCTCACAAAAAACTTTTTTGAAAATCTGCTCCGCCTTGCTTTCTGTTTGCGAAGCGTTTCGGAGTACCGCGGACCGTCTGGAGGCCCCGAGACTAGCGATCTGCGTTTCTGTCGTCACTTTTGGCTTTGCGTGTCTCAAAAGTGGCAACCGTGACAGGGATGGAGCGTTTGGGGGTCGCGATCTGTGCAACTGTCGGCGCTTTTGGTCCCTCGTCTTCTTGTCGCGTGTCAAACATGCCAACCATGACAAGGATGGGCTCCTGGAGGTCGCGATCCGTGTATTTGTCATCACTTTCGGGCCGTCAATCACTCGGGATCGCTTCTTCCTTGGCTATCTTCTCATTGTGCTTGCGAACGGTATGTGTTCCACTCAAGGCACGGCTGGGACTTCGGTAGGCCTCGAAGGACTTTCCTCCGGCTAGGTAATACGAAGCCAAGCTTTTCAGCAATCCTCTGGAATTCTTCCTGGCTTCAGCCCACCCATGGGCGCCTATCCAGTAGATACTAGGTCTACGCCGAATGTGAAGATTTCCTTCAAGTTCTTCATTGATGGCAGAAAGATGAACCTTGTCGACAAGGGCGAAGAGTTCTAGGCACTTCGACAACTCCCAGATCGTACGCAGGCAAATGCCATTGTGGAAAGAACGAACCTCTACCTGGAGGACCAGGTGCGTGTTTGGTTGTTGCTGGATTGCCGCCATGCTAGTGGGAGTTCGCATTGGAGTGCTCTACTCTTGTTCGCAACACGGACAAGAGGAATGAACCCACTGGTGGGAGCTTACGTTCAGGGAGGACTTTGGAGGTAAGAGGGTTCTTTTTGGTTCGCTTGTGAACTTTCAGCCAACTTCATCCAGGAAGTCGAGCACGAAATTTGGTCCTGATGCTGTCAATGGAGTTTTCGTTGGTTCTGGAGGGCTGGAGAAGAGAGCAGCTAGCCCGGCCCAATGGTTGACTTTTCGATTGCGATATGCTTCCAATCAAAGTTCGTGATCCTATTGTGACAGAAAGAAGATCATCGGTGGCAGACAAGATTACGTCCCCCTTTAAAGATGAGTATGGGCGCATGAATAACACCCTAGAGAACATCAAAGATGCTGATAAGCTTCGAGATGGCCCTGAACGCCTAACGATAATCGAGCCCATGGAGAAGCTCAGACAAATCTCTGAAGGATATGCGCCCTACTCCGAAGGTAAAGCCGGCTGTGATTGAGCGCTTCCGCTCAACTGGTGAAAGCAAGGCCACAAAAACTGAACAGTAAGGCCATGGCAACAGTTCGACTCCAATTACTATACGCCATCTTGGAAACATACATGAAAAGATGTCATGACATAAACATGGGTTGCTGACCCCTGGTAGACCTACCGCGGATCTGCCGCGAATCTGCGCGTTTTACCCTGCGTGCCGCCGCATGATGAAGAGGACAGCCACACCCCATGATAACATTTAAGGTCTGTTCTATATGGTCTTCCTTCAAAGGTGTTTTGACCATCGCCCATATAGCTCACAGGTATAGTGCAGGTGCTCCTGAACTGCAGCTTGGGCTGCGGCCACGAAAGGAGCATCATCACTATGCTCCCGCAGATAGATGTGGTCACAGAGGCAGTGCGTGGGGATGTTCATTCTGGCAGAAGACACGAACACGCAAGCGAGCACGTAAGTGAACACGCAAGTGAACACGTGAGGCGGTGAGGGCAAATTGAGCAAACCAAGGACGTGCCGGTGCAGCGGACCCTGGCCCGGAGCCAACCTTGGACAGAAGCTGGTGAGTTCTTCGCTGCTTCTCGGCTGTGCTGTTCTGAGCTTGGGGGCCGCGTGGGTATAGCAGCATAGGTGCTCTTCCCCAGGACCTCCGGCGCGTGTTGCGCGCTGCAAGGCTGCAAGAACAGACCGAACCCTCCACTATGGAAGAAAAGAGAGGCTATGCGAGAGAGGGACCTCAGGCTGCAAGAGCAGGTTTGTGGGGGAACACCGAACCCTCCATGGAAAAGAGAGAGGCGAAGCTACGAGAGGCTCTGAGGGTCTGGCCATGGGCACCACGGGCGCATCCAAGGTGTAGTCCTCGGTCGCAGAATGTCTCTGCATGGCCAACACCCCCTTTTAAAACAAAAACAAGAGTTCACAAAATTCACATCCACCTTCACCTCCTTCACCCAGTTAAAAGCTGTAAGCCTCTTCTTCACCGAGGGACGTTGGGATCCGGTATCAGCTGACCGAACTTCAAGGGAGCTTCCTTCTCCTCCAGAAGCGACACCTGACAAATCAACTCTGGGATCAGCAATGAGCTGAAAAGTGCTGGCGACTTATGGCGACTTCGTCGCAGCACAATCGGCCAATTGGCCTGGAATCGTTGATAAGCTGAGATGTCCAGCACATTGTTCATGTTTCCCTGGCCTAGGAAAGGTAAAAACACAAGCCCGCCATCAGAGGCTCAGCAACCAAACTTGCCAGGCCACTATCTTGCATTCCTTTGCTTGCAGCAATTTCAGAAGCTCTAAGCAGTGTCAGCAAGAACAAACCGCAGGTAGCCAATGTAGCCACGGGACGGGGCTGGTCAGGGGCAAAGCGCCACTGATCGTCCACGATGAACTTGTACTGATGCACGCCTCAGCCGAGAATGACTGCTGGTGTCTGGTGTGGTGCGGAGCAGTAAGCAGTATTCCATCATGCGATTCAAAGACACCTCTGGGAAGTTCCTGCACCACCGAGAACTCTTGCCTAAGAAAAGAGACGAGAAGTGAAAGCTCTGGCGAAGAAGCTCTTGCGTGAAAGCTGAAAGCGAAAGCACTTGTGAAGGCGGCTCACCCGGACCGGACCATGGGGATCTGATCTCGCCAGCCGTTGAAACTCGCGGCCAGAAAAACGTTTTGACCTCGGCCAATCAAGCTCGACACAAAACAATCAATCCAAGGGTCTCCAAGCGCTCTCTTCTGCTTTCTGCTACCTCGCTCCTCTTTAGGCGCCAGTCCTCCGTGCGTCCAGGTGAAGACCACAGGGATGCCTGAAAGTTCTGCGACTTCTCGCACAGACCAGATGGACTTTGCTGTCGGCGGGGCGGTCATCTTTCTCCGAGTCCACTGTGACGGAACTGGTCATGTCCTCAATCATAGTCCACTGCCAGCCACTTGAGAAAGCCTTCAAGGAAAACCCAAAAACGTCTGAGACACCTGGCGGGAGTGGGGCCAGGAGGTACAAAGGGTGCTCCGCTGGGCAATGCCACACCTTCAAGGTGTTTGCCTCTCCCCCACATCATCTAAAAAGTTGGGGAGTTCGCTGGGGCTGGGCGCCACAGCCTGCATCACTACCGCTATCATATTTGAGCAGCCCATGAAGCGACACCGGCTGCGGTGTCCCAGGCGTAGAAGTACATACTAAGCCTGGCAGGACTCGAACCTGCAATCTTTGGTTCCGAAGGCCACAGGGCATAGATGTAATCGCGCAATGTCGCGCAATATGGCGCAAGCCGTGTGTAGGCAAACGGAAGTGAAGCCTCAGACTTGGGAGTTTCTGAACCTCCCCCTGCAGCTTTCACAAAGCTGAGTTGAAGATTAGCGGTTGCGACCGATGAGACCGATGAGAGGGTGCCCGGCAGTGCCGTGCCTGAAGGTCCCCGGCTGGCCAAAGTCCTCTGCCTGCAACGAGGCGAAAGGCGAAAAGAGCCTTTAACTTCCTTCCTTTCTCGCTAAACGTGTGACTCTTTTTGGCCTCACTTGTTGATTGCCCATTTTCTCACCTCAGCACAGGATCCCTCACACCAACCTATGACTTCCTAAAAGCCTCCAGGCTGCCGGTGTCTAGGCCGTCTGATGACGCGCCAGGATTCACATGGCCACTTGAAGGCTTGACATCAAATTGGGCTGTTTGAAGGCCTTCCAGTCACTGCTATGTACCTTGTAGTCTGTTAGATTCTGAAGCAGACCACCTCTCGCGAGCCTCTCACTGATCAAGGCACCATGTCACGTCTTCTGCTTGCTCAGAGGCAGAGAAGTCCCCTTTTCACAGCACGGATCCAAAACTCGAGTCTCAAGAAACTGCAGCTGCTTTCAGCAGATTCAAGGCGGGAGCGCCTTGCCGAGCACACGCCAAGCAATGCCAAGCAATGCCAAGACATGCTTCCAGGAGCCGCGCCGTGTGCCCCCAAAGCTTTGTACCTTGTGAGGCAAAAAGACAGGCCCAAAAAACTACATTTCTTTTTCATTCGGATCCTTCTCTTAGCCGAAGCACGCGGTCCGCAGCTTTTGGACCGTGAACCGCTGCAGCTCCTCAAGCTGCTTGGACCTGGAAACCGCTTCGCAGATGCCAAACGCTTTGCACATGCTTAGCCGCTTACCTTTTGAACATGCTAACACTTGAAATGTTACTACTTCCAGCATGAATTCACGTCTGACGTCTCTCCAAGGAACTTCTCGCGCGTCTTGTCCTTTTCCAGAAGCGCCTGCGACATGGTTGAGAAGGCAAATTGCTCTCTTTTTGTTCCTTTCCCTCCAGCATAAGGGCAGGGCCATGTTGCAAGCCACCAGGCCCCAAAGGGCACGAAGATTTGCACCGTCGAGGTACGCTGCTAGGCTGAAGTACCTTGTACAATGCCGGTCGCCTTTTCTTGGAGTCATCCATCCGCAATTTGGAGCTTCGGGCACTTCCTGCTCGTTTCTAAATCGCCTGTGGAGTAAAGCAGCTCTGCATACGTGAGGATGTTGTACCTTGTATGTTCCGAGGTCCTAGCAGGAGCTTGTGAGATTCACGAGTAAGTTCCCAGCATAGAGCGCGGATTGTGGACAATCAGCTCTTCGAAGCAGAACACTGCCCGCTGCAGCATCCCACACTGTCAGAAGAGAACCCATTTGCCATCATCAATAGAGACATGCTAGTCTCTACGTCTCTGCAGCCTCAACATAGAGCTCGCCGAGCTCGTGCCAGACCTGCAAAAGGACGAACGATGAAACACGGCTTAAGCGGCGCGGTTGCGGCGCATGCGTCTTAGCCTCGGAGTCGGTACTGAAGGTCTCGAGGTAGGTGTTGATGGACTCGATGGCCTCTCAACATGCAGCAAATTTCTAGGAAGTCCCAAAGTCATTTTACGGAAGCTTTTCACCTCAGGAACTTTGCCGCTCTGCTTGTACCTCATAACACCAAACACTAATGCCACTGAGCATGCTTGCAATGGAGGCACATAGCGATGAGGCGCTTGTGAGTCACGGTATCCTCCAGCAGTCTGTAGTTGAATGCAAGAGCATGCAGTTGAACGAGTAATGTAATGAACATCGGATGGTGCCTGCCATTCAAGTAGCATTTAATGTCTGCTATTTGCGGCAAATACAGCGTTCGACATGGGTGTCACGGCAAGTCTTCTTGAAACTAGTAACTTACATTTACACTTTTTGCAGGACTTCTTTGGGCCAACATCATCAGCGTACTTGCCAAGCTGCACTGCTGCATCCTAATAAACATGGCTCTTCTGACCGGCCAAAACATGAAGTGGGCTGCCAGTCATGCTGATGATGCTGGCACATGCCGGCCTGCCCCCAGCAAACTTTGGGAGGCAAGCGTTGTGCGCTCCAAGACCACTGGAAAGGTGAGTTTCTGGTGCCCTCGTAGCAAGTGTTTCTGAAGAAAACAAACGCAACTTGGAGCATCGTCTCTGAAGCTGCACTTTTCTCTCTCACCTAAAGGTCGTGGAGGTTTGCATGTCCCGTGCTAAGATCAAAACACACTACCAGCCCAAGAAAAGCACAACTCGCAGTCTGGTATCTATATGCAGCTGGTCACGACACCTTGTGCCCATGCACCTTCACAACCAAACGTTGCTGCTCCTGTCCCTCACTGGCTAGGCCCTGCCAGGGAGTGGGTCACAGTGCGTTGATGATGGGCAAGACACTTGGGACCCGCTGCAGATGCAGCGCCTCGAAAACCTTTCGAAAATGGCCACGTCGCCAATAATTGTGGACGAGGTCAGGCAGATGATTACGCACAACTGTGGTGTTGTGGCATGGTCTGCGCAAGAGCACGTGTCTGTGTCAAGCGTCCGCAACGTCAGGTCTCTACAGCGGAAAAATGCGCACCAACCCAGACAAGACTGCCTGAGCGGTCGGGATCTTCAAGGATTTGAAGCTGGAAGACCTGGTGTACCACATGGCAAGCTTCGATCAGAGGAGGGCACCCCCGCTGACCCATATCGCAACACACGAAATCTTAGCGAACCTATCGCTCAGTGCGCAAACACCGTGTGCCTGCACAAGCACATAAAGCAACACGTTCTTTGCTCATGTGGGCCCGACTGGGCAATCATGTTCAGCCATAGTGATTGCGGAAAGGACATGCGTGAGTCATGGCCAAGGGAAGCGCAAGCTCAAGTTTATATTTTATCACCGGAAAAATTCCCCATTTGGCAATGATCTCACGCAGGATTATGAGTGGCCTCAAGGGACAACTGTGAAGTCCTCCCATCCTGAGACATCCTCGTGAGGCCATCGGCTCTCATCAATTGAGTCGTGACCCAGTGGACCATCTCGACATTCACCACCTCCTGGACTGCACAAACAATTACAAAGCTTCTCTTGCCCGTCAAGCTTGGCGTTTCGGACTGTCCTACAAGGACTTGGCATCGCTCACGTGAAGATGGCGCAGCACAGGTTGTACACTCGCGGAGATCAAGAGCTTGAGGTACACGCTTCTGTCCACTGCCTCGTCGGTTGCCATGGCCCCTGTTGCTACAGTTGACCTGCAAACACGGCTGGACTTTCCACTGCGCCAGTCAACAAAGAGTCCCAAGCAGGGAACCCGCGAAACCTGAGGAACGAAGCTAGAATGAGCACACGGTACGGGTAGCGAAGTTGAGGCTGTTCGGGAAGCTGGATTCAGCGTGGGGGACCAATGTTGTTGAGCTACTCATGGGAACGCTGGCACGAGTCCTTAGTCGGCAGTCTGCTTGGTGTAGTCCAAGGCCAACTACGAGGCTTTCAGGTTCCATAGCTTTCTGCAAGGCAATAAGTGTCCTGTGCTGGGGCCAGAGGCATGGGCGGCCGGGATTGATTTGGCAGCGGGCCCCCGGGTGTGCGGTGCGTCATCTCTCCTTTGTTGTTGAGGGAGATCAAAGGAGACAACTCTGGTCTCATTTGGCTGGATAGCCACCTTCCTTGCGTTGTTGGTCAGCTTGTCTTCAGGGTCACAGCTACGCCGTAGCTGCCCTTTTCGAGGCCGTCCAGGAACGCTTTCTGTGTCAGGCGCAATTGAAACTGTCCGGAGTTGCAGGGTTTCGTGAAGAGCTCGACTTGTGAAGGCGATCGGAGCGGAAGATGCCCAAGAAGTCGCCCACGTAGACCTGGATCACGCTCATGATCTTGCCTTTACCGCAGCACTTGGAGAAGATTGCTTGATCAAAGCTATGCTGGGAACAGCCCAGTCCAAAAAGCCTATAAAGCACTTCGCGCACCGAAGCTCGGAGCACCAGCAAGTCCAAATATGTTCGAACACGCCTTGTAAAGTGGTGGCTTCCAGTGCCGGGTCTGATTGATGAGGCCGTCCGCAGGGAAGAAGGGCAATGTCACTGTTTTGAGCTGTCTTTGAAGGACGGCGGTGCTCGCGTCGCCCGTCCACGCCGCCATCTCAACTGGAAACCTTCCACGCCAGCGAGGATCATGTATGAAGGACATGCTCGGAGGACCTGTTCGGGAACGATGCTTGTCTGTTCAACGAGAGACGGACCACGGTGTCCCGAATAGACTATGCGACGCTTGGCGCGCAGAGGGCCTTGTCCTCTTGCTTTATCACGATAGCGCGCTCGAGCGCGAAGAATCCCTTCGCAGAGGATCTTGTCACTGAGCACCTGCTTGGCCTGTCAGTGAGGGGCTCTACGCTTTTCCATTCCAACCAGGAAGTCGTTTCCTTGTCGATGGCCTTGAGCATGCTGGGAGCGGAGGATCCAAGATCTTCCAGTCCAACGCATGGGTTGAATCTTCAAGGGCGGCGGCTTGCCTGCGTTCATCCTCATGAGTCAGAACAGCGATGGCAACGAGCTACTGCAGCAGTCTGGCAAAGAACACCTACCGCAACATGGGAAGCGCTTGCATGGCGAGGCAAGCTTGCAAGCTTGGCATCACCAAAAAAAGCTGCAGGCCCGTTGACCAACAGTGGAATGATAACATCGCCTGCAGCTCAACCGGATGAGCTCAGACCCAGATCGGAAGGAAGGCTCAGGCGTCGAAACTTAGCGGGGCAGCTTGCGCCCTCCATTCTGAAATCAGGCGCAGGAATTTATCTGTGGCAGCTGCACGGGGGCGCAAGTTGGCGGGCCTATAGCCAGGGACAGAAGAGGCGTGATTGCTTGGTGCAGGCAGCGCACCTTAGGTGAAGCCGATGGGCGTAGTTCACGTTCTCGTTGAAGAGGTTGTCGTCCGTGCAACAGGCAGCTGACCAGCAAGAACCAGGGTCGAAGGCGTTGAGCCATTGAGCATACCAGTTCTTGATCTCTAGCAGTCCCAGCCGTACAGCAAATCGACCGGTTGACGCGTGTGCGATCTTCGGCGGCCGTGCTTGGCCGAGCTTCCCCAGCAAACAACTCCTCCAGGGGTTCTACACAACGAGGAGGTCTGGAAATCACCATCAGAAGGCCCTGGTAGACCTTGATTTCACCATCCAAAATGCCACTTGCAGGGCTGGTTTTGCTGGTCAGGCGCTTCGCCCTTCACGCGTCCCAGGAGTTTCCAAACGGCCATGTCCTTCTCCTTGGCTGAGCCCTCTGCGGAAAGGCCCCCTCAAAGTTCAAGAGTTCTTCCAGAAAGGCCGCGTGGAGGTAGGTCTACTTTTGGCCGCCTGCAAGGAAGTCCTCCTGTTGGGCGCCGGCTCTCGTGCCGTGTTGTCCAAGCGTGAACACACGCGTCTTGTCACGCGCTTCCGGCACCTGGCAAAGCGTCCGGTTGCGGCTGTATGCCCTTGGATCGCACTGAACCTCTGCCCCTGACTCCAGTCCAGCCCAGTCCTCCTCATCGGCGGTCTTGCGACGATCTGATTTGGCCGACAAGTGGAAGATCTCGGGAACTCGGGACATCGCAGAGGGATCTAAAAGGCTCCGGCGTCAACTTCGCAAACCATTCGCGAAGTGCATGAACACCGCGTGGCTGCACAAGCAAAGCAACGCGTTCTTTTCATTGAACGAAGTGCAAGTGCGCCCGACTGCGCAATCATGTTCAGTGTGTGAATCATGGCCAAGGGAAGCACAAGTTCAACTTAAGTTTATCACAGGGCATCATCCAACCCCCCGACAGATATGGTCGCCGCTTTTCATGCCCAATGCATAGTCCCATGTTCCCGGCTTCCCACCAGCTTTCATGATTGATGCATTGCCCGAATGCGCAGCTCGCCTTTCATAGCTGGTGCATCTCCTGGCACGTTGCCACCCGCTTTCGATGCTCGAGGGATTGCCCTGTCACGTTCACACCCAATCCCTACCCGCTTTCGTGCCCGATGCCTTGTTCTCACGCGTCCACGCCCACCTTCCACGACTTTTGTTCGCCGATGCATGCATGTTGCTTTTCACGCCCGACACGCTGTCCTGACTCCTGACGTGTTCTGCATGAGCCGCTTCCCACCTGGCTTTGATGTCCGATGTGTGATTGAATGAGTGAGTGAGTGAGTGAGTGAATGGCAACCTTCTTGGGAAGGCCTTGCCTGAGGTGCTACCGCTCCCAGCTTGACAGGGTCTTCGGAAATGTCTTCACCTTCTCCACTTGCAGTTCAAACTGGCTGTGCAGCATTGCCCGGCGGGAGGGGTGGGGCAGGATGTGCCAGGAATCTAGTGGACGTTAGCGGTTAGCACAGTCTTCATCAGTGCTGGACAGTTTCCTCCAGGTCAGCGCACAGCACCACCGCCAAATCTGGGGCCAGTTGCTAGGTGCAAATGGTCGACTCCTAGGTGTCAACAGTAGCAGCCCACGGCCGGAAGGAGCATCCCCACTAGCACGCCAAGTCGGTGCGCAAGCGGCGTGTAGGAGCGCGGGCAACTTAGTACGGGCTCATGGGAGGAGCGTGGAATACCGCACGGACGCCTCCAACTAGCACCCCACGCCAGCAGCTTTTCGTACAGCAACATGCAGGGAGCGCGCAGTTAGCAGCTTCTCCTTCAACCCCGTTGCGACAAAAACTAGCACCATGAAAGCCCAAATGACACTCCAAGTTGACGTGTGGGCAGCATGGTCTCCCCAACTATCACCCCAAGTCGGCTTAACCAACTACCCAAGTTGGCGCATGGCAGCATGGAAGGGGCGCTGCCAACTTGCACTCCAGCATGACATATGCATAAAGGGAGCGTTCTCAGCCCCCAGGTTGCAGGAACAGCTTGGCAGCTTTGGCAATCTCTAGCGACTCTAGCGCACGGAGCCGGTGCAGAATTGCAGAGCATCAAGGCCACTCGCAAGGAGTACCGCATAAGCTCCCAGCAGCGAGGTGGCATTGAAGAATTTCTCGTAGTCACTGAGGCGACAGAAACCACGCCCGGGGCACAATGCTTCCGCAGTCAGCAGCGGCCGACCTATGAAGAAAGGAACGGACTGCCCGAGCAAGCGCCTCTTCATGAGGTGCACAAGGTCGTCCTCCGGATCTCGCTCCTGCTGGGTGTGCTGCCGAACCTCTTGAGTGGCTCCAGGGTCGTGACTTGGCGTTACATCCCCGATACCCCCTGCGTGTCGGGGCTTCCTGGGCCATCGCCACTCCTTTCGCCTCTGGCTTTGAGTTCCTGCGCTGCGTCGCCGACGTCCTTCAGCACCATGGAGTGGGACATCTTCGGGCCATGTTGGTACTGACGGGGACTCATTGGCAGACTAGCGTGTCCTCCCAGCCCCAACTTGGGCCCTTGGAGAAAGGTGTTCCTTGTGGGATGATCCGAGTGTGGCAGCACTACCTGCCCAGCCTGTGGTTCCCCCTGGAAGGAAATTTTCCGTGTTTACACGCAACCTGGCACTGGGCGGCTGGCGCAAGGCTATGCAAAGCTATGCTCCCCCCGTGTTTCCTGTGCTCCAGCCCAGCGGCTTAGCAGGAGCATAGCTTGGCTATGCGTCCCAATGGTTCAGGGCTTGCCTTACACAACTTGTTTCCAATGCGTGCATGAAGCCCCTAGACGTAGCCACGTAGCCCAAAGAGCCTGAGTTTATGTTTGCCAGATCGGCCTCGGGCTTGCCCGCGAGGATCTTCTGATAGATCTTTTCGGCCTGCGAGGAGCTTCAGGCTTCTCCCTTTCCACGCCTCCCCAGTGCGCCAAGAACCCTTCTCTCCTCCTTCCAGTCGGCCAAGCTTTCCTTCTCAATACCTGCGATGACTCTACTTCTTTACATTTCTTTACTTCTTTCCAGGCTTCAATGACTCAGCCATGCCCGGCCTTTCAAACGTTCAACTCGCAGGGACGAAGGAAACTTCTTGGTCAGCTCTTTGAGGCAGTACTCCTATGAAAGCAGGGGCATTTAACGACCACCAATTCGAAAAGCCCTGTCACAGTCGGTCCCTCCACTGGTCGCATCCCAGCTCAGCAGCCGCGAGAAACACTTGCTCCATGACCTGACAGCAAAAAGGATCCAGATCTCAGTTCAAAGGAAAATGAGAATCATTTTCACCCCCACTTTCTGTCTTATTAGCGCTTGCAATTTAACGCGGCTTTTGCAGCGGAGCCGCGGTCCAAACTTCTGTTCCCAGTGCCCGTGCACTTCCTTTGAGAAGCCGCGCACCTGTCTGTATGACTTCTGCGCATCTCTGCCAGGCGACCAGACGTCTTTAAGCTCATGGCCATGGAGAAGGGCGAGTTCAGGCTGGTGGATTTTGTGCGTCCTGACAGGTCTTTCGGCCAAGTGGCCCCCTGGGGGCCTTTAGAGCGGTTTCGGGGCAGCCTCATGAATTGGAGAAGCTCCGTCGCCTGGAGACGACTCGAAACAATTTTGTGCGACTTAGTGACACCTTGCTTACCCCAATGTGAAGCTCGTGCGATTCGCAAAAAGACTTTGCTGGAATTTCTGTTCCAAGCAGCAGAAGTCACGGACCTCAGCTCATTAAGCGTGAAATCTTTAATCCAGTTGTAACAGGGTGCTGTCTTGTTTGTACTTGCCCGGTCTTCTGATAAGAGCAACTCCTTCAAAGCTCTCTTCTGAATTCCGGACAGCTTATCCTGCTCCCTGCGATTCATTGCAGCATGTTACAGCTTTCGCTTCTGAATAGCACTGTGGGATGTGTAATGCACTCTGGATGGTCAAGTACATACCAGTGCAGCTGACGGCTGCTCTCCAAGTGCTTTCTTGCCATGAGTGCCGTGTGAATCCACCTCAAGGGCACCCCCTTCTGAGTGCGGATTGAATCTGAACATTCTTCTGCTCCGTGGCATTGAAGTTCTGCAAGCTTTTGTTTCTGGAAAAGTGAGGGTGTATTTTTTTTTTTTGAGGGGGCTAGGGGCCTGGAATGGAAAGACGCATCATACGAGAGCGCGATTCTGAAGCAACAACTGTGCAGAATTATGAAGAATCATGAAACATGATGAACGTGATGAAAAAGCACCGAAAAATAGGAAAATGATGGAAACATGAAAATGAAATCTTTTCCTCACAAGTTAAGAGCTGCAGAAATCTCGATCAATTTCGGTGGTGATGTGTTTATCACCCCGCCTCAGCCAACACCTGTCCCTAGGTGCTGGCTGCTACAGGGCATGTTCTCCTCACCCAGGGAAACCCTACGTACGTCATTGCTGTGCGATGTTTCCACAAGTGGGGAGATGATACCCTTGTCCGCTACCGGAGATGGCTATCGTTGCTGGAGGCTGTACATTTCTCTGCCGGAGTTCACGATTTTCTTCTCGAACCTCCCTACGTGCCCGATAGCGTTGCTCCAGTTTTGTTTGTCTTTCGCTAAGCAACTCCTTTTGTTCAGTGGCACGGTCAACGTACTCCTCAACAAATCTTATCTCTCCGCTGCTCATTCCAAAGTCAGCTTGGACTCCGAAATCTCGTGTCAAAACTGCTGGGGGTTCTTTTGAAAGTCTGCACCAGCGCTTGCACATTCCCAGCAAAACCCATGGTATACCATAAATGAGTACGCATGCACCGAGAACCACAATCAACGTAGCTTTGAGCTCCTCCAAATCCGGCGAAATGCCAGCAAGAGGAATTAGAAGGCTCAAGCCCTCAATGCCATTCGTTTTGCGCCATAACAAGCAGAATTGGCATGATCTGCTTGATGTTTTTAACTACAAACCACCACTTTTGACTGCTTTTGCAAATTGTATCTTGGCCTCAGCTTCCTCATAGTCGATTTTGCCATAGGCTTCACCATCTTCACTGACAGCACCACAAAGAAGCAAAAGCTCACGGAGACGAGGTCCACCCAAGGGCTCTGTCCCGATGTCAGAGGGATTTGACCCTCTGGACCCTCCAGGAACTACTCCAACATAACGCAGTCCTGAACCCAAAGAAGTCCAGCGTGCAAATGCCGAATTCGACCACATCCAAGCCGCTGAGTGATTCCTCTGCATGCTGCACTGTCGGATCTCAACCTGGCTTCCACACAACAAGATTCCTTGAGCAAGAAGTCGAGGCACTCCTTGACATAGATAATCTCACCAGCACCGCCGACAAGGGCAATGAACTCACTCTCGCCACTGCTAAGAGCTATTGAGCGCTGAGATCTCACCATGGCCTACATACAAGTGGATGGAGGATCTGCTCCTCCTCGATCTCTTGCAGCCTGCCCAGTCGGCATCAGTGATTGATTCAGCAACAACTTTGCAACCTGGAAAGAAACCCGATCTGCCAGGGTAGCCAGCACACGCCAAATTCTGAATGGGCTTGATGAGAAAGCTGATGCATGGAACCTTGACGAGGTACCCAACAACTCTTTGAAGCCATTTCATTGCAAGGTTTGTCGGGCTTGCCATTTTGGAAGACAAGGTGCAAGTTGCATACTGAATGTCGGCACGTGTATGACTCACTTAGAGAAGACGGCCAACGCATTCGCGAAACAATTTTGCTTCCTGAGATCCAAGCTCCTTGCTGTTGTCAGCCTCAAGGAAGGTGTGGTCTGAAGGACTGTCACGTTCAAGTACTTTGGTTCGAGGGGCTGCGATGAGGCCATCCACGTGCTTCCTCCCAGAAAACATCAGAATGCCCTCTTTAGCCTTGACATACTTCCTCTTCAGGAACTCTAGCTCGTCACAAATGTCCTTCATAGGAGCACTGACTTGGACCTTCACTTTTGCGCCGACGCGCTTGACCAACTCTTCTCGCTCATGAGCCATTGCTGCTAGAAGGCCATGATTTGCATGAAGAACCAGCATGGGATCGTTGTCATCATCAACATTGCGAAAGAGATTAGGCTCCTTCACAAACTCCTCCGGGTCACTTTCATGGAGGATATCGCGGATGAAATTGAACCATTCAGCAGCTGCTATACGTTGGCCAGGAAGTAGCTTCTCAAGGACGAATTGGACTACCCCAAACTTTCCATTATCAAGGAGGGAAGCATCTACGTTGATGACAACTGGTGCCTTTTGATCTACGTTCAGGTATGCATCCCATCAAGAGTGACAACTTCGAGGCTTTTTGAAGGAGCCAGCGCCATCATGGAGTGAACAACTGACAGGCAGGAAGCAGGGGCAAGAAGCTCTTCAAACCACGATGTCCAAGTTTTGAACTCACGGGCCACCAGCCTACTCCTTGTTGTCCAGCCAGGCCTTCGGCGCCAGTCCCTCCCCAGATTTGTGGTTAGAAAGTCGTAACCACGAATGTCTTCTCCCTCACGAACGGGACGGATCACTCCCATCTCTAACAAGTGAGAAAGCTCAAACTGATCACTGTCATGATCAACCTGGTGGAGGTGTTGCTGGCTCCAGTCCGGAGGTGCTTCGGCATCAGCATCCCAATCAACGGTGTCAAAGAAATCAACGTCTTCTTCCATGGCGCCACCAACTTCATCAATCCAGTCTTCGAAACATGCGAGTTCACTTGAAGGAATGTCTCCATGGACTTGGGATACAAACTGGAAGAAGGAGAACCCGAAACTTGCACCGATGGAGCTGTAGCAACGGGACGCGGTCTGCTCAGGTGGTGGGCTCGACCGCCATGTCCCTCAGCAGGCAGGGGATCTGGTTCATGCTTTTCTTTTGTGAAGGTGTAGCAGTAGTCGACTTGAATCATTGGAACGTTGCGAACTGAGCCGACGTCTTCACCTTTAGGAGGATTGTTTTTGGTACGCGGTGATTGCTTCGAACGTCAAAGGACACATGCCTGGCAGCCCTAGGACTCACATTGAGCCCGTAGAACGCCCCTTTAACAATCCATCTCTCTTGAGGAGGACAGATCTTCATACGCACAAGCGCCTTAGGCGGGGCTGTGGCAATGGTGGTCTGCGAGGGGAGCACTTCAGACAAGCCCGCATTCAAGAACGCCTTCTTTACGTCCAACGCGGCGCCGTCCCAACTTCTCAACCCAGCAACACGCAGCTGGCAACGGAAGGCAACTCCATCGAGGTTGCTTTTGAAAACCGGGGCTTTGGCAAGCGCGGGGCTACCCTCAACCTTTTGGTGCTTAAGAAAGTTACCGCAGATAACTGCCTCTCGCCCTGCGGCGGCCGGTCCCGGCCTTTCTCGTCCACACCATCTTAGAAGGGGCCCACTCAACCACGTAACCGGCATCCTGCAGGTCAGACAACTCACGCTCAGTGGGACGCTGCGCAGTGCCAAACTCATGAAGGAGACACTCATACTCGTCCCTGGCAGGAGGGACCCGCAACTCAAGCTCAGGCTCAACGTCGTTCCATGACAGAGTTTTTGTTTGCAGGAACTGCTGGTCCACGGGAACATCCTCAGAAGAGTCCACCAAAGCTTCAGCCTTAGCTGTCGGCGAAGATCAGCAATAGTCTCGGTCGAAGCCGCGCCAGAACCGCAAGCAACTTCCTCAACCAACGCCTTTTCCTCAGCAACCAACACATGCCGAAGGCGGACCGCGGAGTCAAAGAGAGCATCTGAATCGACTGAAGGATCCAACGCAGGAGAACCGTCAGCTCCTTGTGGGGCGAGAAGGGTGAGGCTCAACACTCGCATCCGCAACAAAACACTTTCTCAACGTCGCAGCAAGCAAAGCAACACCAGAAACGCAACGCGAAGGACCACAGATGGATATGTTGGGATCTTTCGACCCAGCTTTACCATCACAGAGCGCAGATATAGTGGAACCTTTCGGCTCATCTTCACCGCAGCTCTTGGTGTGTAGGCCACAACGTTCAAACGGCGGTGCTCGGAAGGCGCGGAAGCATGCCACAAGTGAGGAGGAAACACAATAACTCCGTCACGAGGTCGAAAAACGCGTCCCTTGACAAAGTTGCCAGAGCTTTAGGGCACTCCTGCCACTCAGCAACAGAATCACAGCAGTCCTCGTCCTCGATCCACAAACCACCTTGGGTCAACGGAATCACAACGTTCAGGGAGCCACGCAAGTTATGGGAGTCCCGATGCGCCTCAAGACTGCACCCATCAAGGATACCAACAGCGGCAAAACGAGCGCCAATCCTTGAACGGACAGAGGCAGTGATGTACTTCACCACAGACTCAAACTCCCTGCAAGACGAAGACACGCCATAGAAGTTGCCATGAGCATACATACCAGCCAGAAACATGTGAGAGGCAGGAGCATCTCCAACCGCAACAGAATGGCGGGAAGACCTGCAAGGCAACAGCTCAACCAAGGCTCGCAAAGAGGCAACATCAAACTTGCACCGAGCCAGCCGCACCTGAGCAAGAAGGTTCACATCAGAGGCTCCTCAAAACCGGACACGCCTGGTACTACCCTGAGCTCCACGGAGAGCAGCGACACGCACCATGCCAACAGCACCTCCACCTCCTGCCCCGGGACCCCTCCTTGGAGAACTGTCACCAGGGGCGCCAGGTGGAGGCTCGTGAGTTCGGAGTGGGCACTCGCCCAAGTTGCTCAGAAGAATGGTAGATTTCAGGCCAAATCAAGCGAGCTTGAATGAAGTACCAAGCAGGGACATCTTCATGCGG